CATGTCTTCAGCCGATATGGGGTACGGGGTCGGTGGAGCAGGACGCGGAAGTGCAACTCGGAGACCTTGTTGGAAGCTCCGGGAACAGCCTCGGCGCTGACCTGGGCCCCGTCATGGCTCCATGGATGGGCCAATGGTTGTGCACGGAAACGGAAAGAGCGCTGAAAGAACTTGCCCGAGACGGCTCATGGCACCCTTCGCTCTTGGGAGCGTAAATGTTACGGGCTGGTTACGTCACTGCTCCCCGTCCTCCTCTCCTCCTCGTCCTCCTCCTCCTCCTCCTCATCATCATCATCAGCCTCCTCCATGTCCTCCCCGCTCTCTTCAATCTGCCGCTCCTTCTCTTCCTACACCTCGTTCTCGTCCTTCCTCACCTCGAGTCACTCCCCAGTCCTCCTCATCCTTCGCTCCCCTTCCATCCTTGTCATCAGCATCCCTCGCCACCATTACTTACGCCTCCTCATCATCATAATGTATGGTGTGGCTCTCGCGTGGCCATCATTTGGCTGTCTTGGGGCCTCGCATGACCCTCTCGGGGTCAGTTTTTGGAGGCATACTGGAAGTCTCTGGGGCGTATTGGGAGGAGTTGTTGGGCCTCTTGGGAGCCTCCGGGGAGCCTTTTGGGGGGCGCTTGGGTGGCCTCGGGGGGCTTCTTGCGGCCTCGTGGGGCCCTCTTGGGGTCCGCTGGGCTCGCTTAGGCAATCTTGAGGCCATGTCGGGGCCCTCCTGGGGCCGTCTTGGGCGACTCCTGCGCCGTCCTGGGGCGCTCTTGGACCGTCTTGGGACGCCTTTGGGGGCGTCTTGGGCCGTCTTGGGCCCGGCTTAAGGGTCTCTTGGGCCGTCCTGGGGCTCTCTTGGGGGCCTCTTGGGCCGTCTTGGAGCGTCGGAAAGCAAAAAAAACAAGAACGCGAAAAACATCGAAAGAACCAATGACAAATCAGCGTTTGTGGCCTCTTGGGGTTCTCTTGGGAGGCCTCTTGGAGGCCGCTTGGGGCGTGTTGGTGGCCTGTGGGCTCGTCTGGAGGCCATGCTGGCGCGTGTTGGAGGCTCGCTGGCCTTTTAGGCAGTCGTCAGGCCATGTCGGGGCCCTCCTGGGGCTGTCTTGAGCGGCTCCTGGGTTGTCTTGGGGCTCACTTGGGCCATCTTGGGACGCCTTTGGGGGCCTCTTGGGCTGTCTTGGGGCCGGCTCAAGGGCCTCTGGGGCCGTCCTGGGGCTGTCTTGGGTGCCTCTTGGGCCGTCTGGCAGCGTCGGAAAACAGAAAAAGCGAGAAGGCAAAACAAATAGAAAAAAACAATGACAAATCAACGTTTGTGGCCTCTTGGGGCTCCTTGGGAGGCCTCTTGGAGGCCGCTTGGGGCGTGTTGGTGGCTTCTGGCCTCGTTTGGAGGCCATGCTGGCGCGTGTTGGAGGTCCGCTGGGCTCGCTTAGGCAGTCTTCAGGCCATGGCGGGGCCCTCCTGGAGCTGTCTTGGGCGGCTCCTGGGCCGTCCTGGGGGCCTTTTGGGCCGTCTCGGGGCGCCTTTGGGGGCTTCTTGGGCCGTCTTGGGGCCGGCTTAGGGGCCTCTTGGGCCGTCCTGGGGCTCTCTTGGGGGCCTCTTGGGCCGTCTTGGAGCGTCGGAAAGCAGGAAAAGCGAGAAGACAAAAAACATTGAAAACACCAATGAAAAAACAACGTTTTTTGCCTCTTGGGGCTCTCTTGGGAGGCGTCTTGGAGGCCGCTTGGGGCGTGTTGGTGGCCGCTGGGCTCGTCTGGAAGCCGTGCTGGCGCGTGTTGGAGCGCTCGCGGGCTGTCTTGGCTGGGCTGGAGCCCGCCCTGGCGGTCTCTGGAGCCGAACGGGAACCCTTCCGAGCGGCCCTGGGGGCCCTGCACCCCCATGCGCCCCCGAGGTCCTTGGGCTCGGCCGGGGGACCTCGTCCCCCGGGATATATATATATATATATATATATATATATATATGTAATAATATACTCATACATCTATAACACATAATCCTATACGATCACCCTTGAGTGATGAAGAAGTTAGGAAGGGGGAAGGAACCAACGTCTTACTCATTCGACCTCACTATTCATCTCACCATCGATCTCACTATTGATCACACTGTCGACCTTACTATCGATCTCACTATGGATCCCACTATGGATCTCACTATGGATCTCACTATCGATCCCGCTCTCAGTCTCACGACTGATCTCACAGTCGCTCTCACTATCGATCTCACACTGGATCTCGTTCTCGATCTCACTGTGGATCTCACAATCGATCCCAATATCGATCTCACAATCGATTTCACCTTCGATTTCACGATCGATCTCACTATCGATCTCACGACGGATTTCACTACCGGTCTCACTATGGATCTCACTATCGATCTCACTACGGGACACCGACGGTACACCACAGCGGGACACCCACGGCCAACTGGGGAGAGGGGCGGTCTTTTGACCGGGCGGCGCCGTAGCCACAAGAGGGTCCATTCCTTTCGCCCGCCCATGCAGCTCCGCCTCGCCCGCGCGCGCGGCACGAGCGCGAAACCGAAACCGATTTCCCGATGGGGGGCTCTCCGTTTCACTGCGATCTCACCCCCCCGCCTCCGATGTACTGGAGCCATCGCGCGCGCTTCGCACGCGCTCACGCTCTAACGCAGGCTGACGGGAAGTTCCACCAACGAGAGCGGCCGCCGGATCGAAGAGCGGAAAGGAATCATAATCGTTATCGCTGTCAAGATCATGATCGTCACCATCCCCAGACATGCTCGCGTCCTGAAAAAATCCTGGAGAGGAAACTTTTGGCCGTTTTGGGCTTCTGGGAGCCCTCGCCGGGCCCGGGACCTTGAAAAAACGACTCAGGATGAAAAGCCGGTCCTGGGGAAGGGTTCGGGAATTCCAGGGACTCCGTAGTGTCAGCATGGGGGCATCGCATGTCTGGGTCATCGTTACCGACGCCGTTCAGAACACTGTGGCCCTCATCATCACCATCACCATCGCCATCACCATCACCGTGGCAATCACAATCACTATCACCATCATCATCATCATCATCATCATCATCATCATCATCATCATCGTCATCATCATCATCATCATCATCATCGTCATCGTCATTATCGTTATCATTATCATCGTCATCATCATCGCCATCGCCATCACCATCATCACCACAATCGCCATCAGGTCATCATCCGCATCATCATCATCGTCATCGGCACCATCACCATCAGTCTCATCGTCATTGCCATCAGCATCACCATCACCATTATCATCATCATCATCGCCAACAGCGTCATCGTCGTCGTGGTGATCATCATCACCACCATCACCACCTCCACCATCACCATCACCATCACCATCACCATCACCATTACCATCACCATAACAATCATCAACATCATCCTCACCATCACCATCACAACTATCGTCATCGTCGTCGTCGTGATGATCATCATCACCACCATCACCATCACCATCACCATCATCATCGCCATCGCCATCACTACCACCATCAACATAATCATCATGAACGTTATCATCATCGCCATCACCATCACCATCATGATAGATCACGTTATACAATAACGGTGCTTTATCTAAGAAGAACGTTGCGGCAACGCGATGCGAAAACGACGGGCGACAGACATAACATATAATTAATTCGGCTTGAAAGCAAATCCCAAAAAAGAAAAACCGACACCTGGATGTGGGGGTGGCGGGGGGCAGCTTGACCCTTACTGGCGATGGATATCGCGAGTGGATCGACACAATTGCGCCGCTGCTAGATCATTACTGCGTCCGCACTCCCATAACAAAACATATTTTACAATAGCGGTGAGATGTCTGAGAAGAACGTTGCGACAACGCGATGCGAAAGCGCCGGGCGACATACATAACAGATAATTAATTCGGCTTTACAATCTGTGCTAGCGCTCGGCGCAAAGAGGCCGGGTAGGCCTGTGCGATGCGGGTCCAGTTGGCCCCGTTGCGGGCGTGCCCCTTGAGGGCGAAGTGAGCGGTCCCCGTGCGAGAGCACGCCCACCTACCTTGGCACCGCCGACAGAGGCGCAAGAGGTCGGGTTCGTCCAGCTGGCCGCAAAGAAACTGCGTGGTTTTCTTCTCCTCCATCGAGTGCCGAGCTGAAAAATCTGAAACAACATGGAAAACGCCGTCCATCTCGCCTGGCGCCATCATGGCGGGCGTTTTGAAAAGATAAGACGAGTGAGGGTTTTCGATGATCCACGGTACTCCGTGCGCGTGACACTCGCGCGCAAGCCGCACCGCGGCGCGCATCAGCTGATTCCCTTGCTTCATTCACAGTAGCCCGATCCTGTCTGCGCAATTCGAGAACGCCCGTCGGAAACTCCTGCGTCCTCAACGTCTTTGAACGGTGTTTGGCAAGGCTGAACGTCGTACAGGGCGGCCCCACCATCGTGTTTTTCTTTGCTTTTCTGTTTCCTGCTTTTGGCTCTCATTGATTTAGCGACTGGCTAGGATTCTCTGTGTCTCTTTGGACTCTGCTGCTGGGACTTTGCCATGTTGCAACCGTTTGAAAGCACGCTGGCTATGCGCTGTAGGCGTGCCCTCACAACGGTTAAACAAGTTCATTGCTCCCTTCTGGGCGTAAAAACCACATTTCAAACAGATGGGTGTGCCGAATCTCTGGTGGACTCCAATCGCATGTGTAGCGTGCAACTCTCTGCCATTAAAAACTTGAGGATCCGAAGGTGTCAGCAAGACGTCCCTCATCAGGCCTATATTGCACGGCGTGTCGAATGATCTTTCAAGCTCTCTGCGGGGCGCCGATCCTCCACGCTCCGTGCATCGCATTCTGGAACCACACAACTTGATTCCCTCGTGTGCCGTGAGATTGCAACTTCTCGCTTGCTTTTTCTTCTTCTTAGCAACGTCACTGGCACTTGGTTTGTGCTTTGGAACTGTCTCCACCACATTGCTTAAACCTTTAGATAAGTGCTTCCTTAGTGCAAAGACGATCGCCGTGGACATCTCTAATCTACATCGATCTGCATACGGAACGCGGAGCTCGGCTGCACTTTCCCTGCCTGTATGTCGGCGATCAGCCCATGCATCACCTCTGGCCTCAACGCGTCGCCCTTGGCACTGTTCACGAGGTCGAAATATCGAGCTGGGAACCCGGCAAACTCGGCCGACCGCCCGCAGCCTCCCTTTCCGCAAAAGACATCCGCGAAGTAGCGACCCTCCAGACTCAAGTGCCTCCGCGGCCCCCGAGCTGAAGCCCGCTCCGCTCTGACATCGAGATGCCCTCGAGCTGCCTCGCGCAGGCGGCCAGTCGGCCGCCTGGCGATGGGCCGCGGGGGCGCTGCAACGGCTGACGCACCGCCCGTTTCTGGGTTCTGCGCCGCGACCGCCCGTGCGCTGTCGGCGCTGTTTAGGGTCGCGACCGCGTTGCCGGCGAGAGAATCTTCAATTTCAGCGTGATCCTGCCGCCGTCTGATCGGCCAGCCTGCGGGCTGGGCGCCAGGTGCAGCGACCCGCCGTCAGCGGCCGTCTGGATGCCGTCGGCCTCGCTAGGCCAGCGCGCAGCACGCGCCAGGAGCGCGCCCTTGGTGCCCTTCAGCGGGTCGGGACGGGCACCGCCTGTGATGTTGGCAGGCTCAGTCATGGCCGCGATCTTGGCGGCCTTGTCGCTGTGCGCGCTGTCGACCGAGCGGCCGGCCGCGCAGCCCGTCGTCTCGGCGTTGGCCGCGCCGTGCCGTGCGCCGCGGCGCGGTCGCGCCCTCTGGAACGGCCGCTCGCGCAGCCGTTCCAGGCGCCGATCGTCTGCAGACCCGCGCGCGTCGGCCGCGGCCGATCCGGCCGCTTGGCCCAGCGCGGACTTCGCCTGCGGCCTGTCGTCGCCCGACTCGCGACTCAGCTCGGGAGAGCACCCCGACGAAATAACTCTGTCCGGCTCTGCAACGCCCGCGGCCTGGCCAGCGGCGCGGCCTCGGCCGCGAGCACGCGCCGCCTGCTCGCGATCGCGGTGGGCTGGGTCGGCTGCCTGCCGAGCTCTGCGGTCGCGTCGCCGATGAAGGACAGCTATCTCGCCATCGAGATTGGCCAGCGGCGTCTTGCCGGCCGTCGAGCCGCAGCCTGAACTGCCCTTCAGCTCGGTGCCTCGCGCCGAATCTCCAGCGCCGATCTCGGCCGTTGACCTTCCCGCGGCCGCGGCTGGATCTCTGGCCGCCGCGGGGCTGCATGCCTCGTGTGCCAGGCTGTAGTCAGCAGGGCACTGAGCCGAAAAACCTACGAAACGTTGTTGAGAACGACATTGATGGTTATGTTAGCATTCCTTGTCGTCGACAATTTCACTGCTGCTGCTATGTACTTTTGAACCTCCTTTTGCCAGGATCAGCTGCCTCCCCCCCGAAGAACCCATATCCTTACTGGTGTTAACATCCAGGTGACGGGTGAGAAAGCGCGATGCGCTAGGAAACCGATCGCATATTCGACTTGGCTCGTCCAAATTATTAAACCCGCTGGGTGCCCAGCGGAATGTGGTTTGTATATTGTGGACGAGACAGTAGGCAGCAAACGCGCGAATCTGATTCAGCGACTTGAAATCCCTGCTTCTGAATCGATCAGAACTGAAACGCACGCTCTTGTTATCAACGAGGAGGACTTGGCAGACATCTTTTCCGAACGAGCTCAACGCCACGCGTCGAAGCGACATCGCCAGCGCCCGCGCCTCCAGCGCCAGCATGGGCTGCCCCCGCGCCCAGGCGACACTGAACCTCGGCACCCAGCGGCCATGCGCCAGCCCGGCCGAAGCCGCCGCGGGGAAGCCTGGGTTGACCTCGTACTCGCCAGAGGCCATCGCGGCCCCCAGCCCGTCGAAATCTTCCCCGGGAAGCTCCTCCTCGGCGGCAGCTCCGCGAGCTCCCGAACTCCAGCGGCCGTCAGCGCGTGTTCCCGCGCCTGCGCCGCTCGAGCGTCACGGAAGTGGCCCCTCTCGCGAGTGCGGCCAGCAGCCTTCACCTCTTCATCGCTCCAGAGGCTGGTGGAGACCCCGTAGCCCCACTCCGAGGCGTCACTGGGGCTCGCCAGTCGATTCCACCTCGGCCACCAGTCCGAGCACAAGAATGGCATCAACCAGAGGAAAGCCCACAGCTCGCCCCTCACGGACGGCCACAACGACTGCTGAACCGAGTGATTCAAGGAGGTGAATTTGCACGCCGAATGGAAGCGCGATAGCACGGGTCGCCGCACCAGGTCCCGCTGGCGCTCCCGCGGTTCAAGAGGTGTCGGCGCGCGGAGTGCAGCCGCCAATGCCGCTTCTTCGTCAGTGAGGTGCGCTGCAACTTTCCGTCGAGGACAACCCCGAGCGCCTCCGCGGTGTCGCTCCTCGCCTCTTCTCCGCGCACCAACAAGCCGAAGCTCTCGAGGACCTTCGCCGTGTCAGCGAGCGCGTGCTCCACCTCCGAGCGACTGTCGCCCATCGCCCCCAAGTTGTCCACGTGCGCGCAGTGCCTGAGCTCGTGCAGACCGTTACTCAGAGCGAGAACGTCGGGCCGGCCGCGGCCCCTCAGCGGCTCCGGGGCGCGGGGCGCGGGCATCCGCTGGCGCAGACTCTCGCCTATCCGATGGAAGAGGAAGAAGAGACTCCAGGTGAACTCCGTGGGCAGCGCCCGCGCCGAGGGCACGATCGAATCTCCTGCGACGGCGACGGTCCCGTCGATCCCCTGGCCGACCATGCCGACGTCTTCGGCCAGCGCATCGGGCGGGCCAGAATATCGCGAAAGCCACTCTGGCAATATCAACCTGTGGAACGCGTCCTTCACGTCGGCAACGCCCATGATTGCGGGCGCCCCGCCGCCCTCGAAACTCTCGGCCTCGACTCCCGCGAGCCCCTCCGGCGTGGGCAGCTCAACGTGCGGTGCCTTCAAAGACCACTGATTGCACCTTCAATAGCCCAGAATCACGCGCATCTTCAAATGCCCCTTCTTCCAAACAAAGAACAATCCAGTCCGCTCGATGCAGCTTCGGCCGAACCTCGCAAGCCCGCGCTGCCGCAAGCTGGTAATGAAGTCGGCGCGCCGCCGCAGGCTGCGGCTCAAGCCAGGATCCACGCGTGGAGTCGCGGGGCCGTCATGCATTAATCTATCTTCCGCCGGTCGAAGCATCCGTCGGCCATCCCCGTCGCGAAATGCCAGCGGGCGTCGCGCAGCTCCGTGAAGAGGCCACGCTCGGCGACCGACTCGGGTAGCGACGCCGCGTCGCGACGGTAGGGTGCAAGCGCCCTGCTGACGGGCTCGCATTCGTGCGCGGCTCGCCCCTGTAGAAGGTCGCGGAAGGCCTCTTGAAGCGATGGGGCGGGTTCGTCATCCAGAGGCGGCTGCGTCCTCTCCAGGAGCCCATTCAGCGCGGGCGGCCACGGCCCCATGCCAGCCATTCCCTCCGCGACGGCGGCCCCAGTTGCGAAATCGTGACCGGCGAGCCAGTGCAAAGCAGCGAGAGCGTCATCGCGTTGCGCCTCGAGCGAGCGGCCCCGGCCCCCGGTCGCAAACCGGCCGGGGCGCCCATGCATCAGCGGAAAGATGTCACGCGAGCCATCTGAAGGCAGGGCGCCTCCACGCCCCATGCATCGCGGCGAAGGGGGCGGGCGGCCCCCCCCGCCTGGGTCGCTGGTCATGGGGCTCCTGCCGGGGTATCGGGCCCCCGGCCACGGCCCTCGCGGCCGCGGTCACGGCCCCGGGCTCGACTCCCTGCAACCGCCGCGTCTCGCCCAGCCTCGCCGGCCGCGCGCCGCGGCGGCTCCGCCTCAACCTCGTCCAGCAGCGTCGCTGCGCTCGGCTCGGCGTCCGTGGCCTCCCCTTCGTTGTCGCTGGCGGCCCTCGGACGCTTGCGCCGGCCCAGCCCCTGCTGTCGCCTGAGCTCCTCGCGGCGGGCCCTGGCGCCCGCTCCGCCCATGCGGCCAGGCAGGCGCTTGCGGCGATGGCGGGCGCGGCCTGCCGGCCGCGCCTCGGCGGCAGCGGCCGCTCTGGCGACCCCGATGGCCCGCCGGCTCTGGCGGGGCCGCCTGCGGGGGCGCGGGCGCCGGTGGCTCCGTCGCTGGCGCTGGAGGCGGGGCGGGCGCAGCCGCGGTCGGCGGCGGCGGCGGTGGCAGCAGCGGCGCCGCGGGGGGGGCCTCCCGGCCGCGCTGCCGCGGAGCGCCTCCCGCTTCGGCCTCGCCCTGGCCTCGGGCCCCGTCGCCTCGATGGCCGGCGACCGATGCTTCGGCTGCAGCTCGAGCTCCTTCGGCTTCGCCAGCTTCGGCGCCTCCTCGGCGTGCAACGAGAACCTGCCTTTCACCGCGGCCGCCCGCAGCTCGCGTTTCGTTATGAAGCGCGCCTCGCGAGTCCGCGCCTCGCGAGGGCGTCGGCGGCCTTTGTCGCCAGCGGCCGCCCGATGGCGGTGCCGGAGCACCTCCTTGAGCGCGCCGGGGCCGCCGCGCCGTCCACGCCCCGTGGAGTAGGTGTCCGCGCCCAGCTTCGCGCGCCCGCCGGGGGGTGTCTCGAGCTGCAGCCCCGACTCCTCGGCGAGCTCGCGGAACGCGCCGCCCAATGTGCTGCCGTCCGCGGGCCCCAGCTGGCCCTGATCGAACTCCTGCGCAGGGTCGGGGCCGTCGACGCGACGGAGCGCCGGCGCCTCGGGGATCCTCCCCCCCGCGCGGCCGAATCACCATGGCCCCCGCGGCGACGACTGGCGCCGCGGCCGCGGCCGGGGTCGCGAGCCGCCGCGCGAGGCGCGCCGCGTGTGGGCCGGCGGCGGCGCAGCGCTGGCGGCGTCGGGCGCAGCTCGTCCGCCGGCCGCGAGCCCGCGGCGAGCGCTGGCCGCGGCGTCGCCGCCGCAGGTGGGCGGCGCCGCGCGCCGCGCCGGGGCAGGGGCCGAGCCGCTCATGAGCAGCTTGGCCCTTAATGGCGATAAATTTTAAAAAGGGGGTCGGCGTACCTGCGCCGCTGCCGGATCATTGCTGTGCCCGCAGTCCCATCACTACCACCATCATTTCCAACGTCCTCGTCACAATAAACATCAACATCCTCATCGTCATCAACGCCATCATCACCGAAGATGGTGCGCATATGCCGGAACCAAACTTGGCGACCGCGCAACTGGACGTGCTGGACGACCAATCGACCGGACGACCGGGCGACTAAGCGACCGGACGACCCGACGACCAAATGACCGGCCGACCAGACGACCGAAGACTATGCGACTGGGCGACCGGACGATAGGCGACCAAGAGACTGAAAGATTGGACGACTGCGAAGCGACCGCGAGCCCATGCTACCAAATAGCGGGATCACCGCGGGACTGGGTGACCAAACGATTAAACGACCGGACAAACGCGCGACCGAACGACTGGACAACCGAACGACAAAACGACTGGGCGACAAAACGACTGGACGACCGGGCGACTGGGCGGCCGGACGACCGGACGACCAAACGACCAGGTTACGGGGCGAGCGGGCGACCAGGCGACCAAACGACCCGACGACCAAACGACAGGACGACTGGGCGACCAAACGACGGGGCGGCCAGACGACCAAATGACTGGGGGGACAAGACGACTGGGCGACCTGACGACACAAGACGACGGGGCGACGGGGCGATTGGACAACCGGGCGACTGGACGACTGGACGACTGGGCCACAAAGCGACTGGACGACTGGGCGTCGGACGATCGGACGACTGGACGACGGCGCGGTTCGTGGCCTCATAAGGAAACTCCACCGGAGGACTCAACGGCAAGGTCCGCATGCCGCACAGGCACCCGATTCGGAACACCCCACACGTTTCGTGGCCCCATAGGTAGCTCCGCCGAAAGCCCCAAGAGCAGGGTCCGCGTGGCGTGCCCGCGCCCGATTCGGCACAGCCATCACACGATTCGTGGCTCCATGAAGAGCTCCATCGAAAGCCTCAACGGCAGGGGTCCGCACATGGCGTACCCGCACCCGATTCGGCACACCACTCACGCGCTTTTTTTGTCCAATATGGGGCTCCACCTCAGGCCCCAACGGCAAGGTCGACACGACGCACCTGCGCCCGATTCGGCACACCCCTTAGACGTCTCGTGGCTCCATAGGGAGCCCCACCGAAGGCCTCAGCGGCAGGGTCCGCACGGCGTACTTGCACCCGATTCGGCACACCCCTCAAACTTTTCGTGGGCCCATCAGGAACTCCACCCCAAGGCCCAGCGACAAAGTCCGCACGCGGCTTACCCGCACCCGATCCGGTACACCCCTCACACGTTTCGTGGCCCCATAGGGAGCTCCACTAAAAGCACCAGGGTCCGCATGGCGTGCCCGCGCCCGTTTCGGCACACCTCTCACACGTTTCGTGGCCCCACAAGGAACTCCACCGAAAACCCCACCGGCAGAGTCCGCGTGGCGTACCCGCACCCAGTTCGGCACAACCATCACACGATTCGTGGCCCCATGAAAAGCCCTACCGAAAGCCCCCGCGGCCGCGTTTGCATGCGACTCCCGGGCCACTGCATGACCATTCCCGCGCCCCACTCACATGTTCCGGGGCCCCACAAGGGGCTCCACCGAAGGCCCCAGCGTTCGTATGCGGCTCCCCGCCCACCGTATGTCCATTTCGGCACACCCCTCACACGTTTCGTGGCCCCATATGGGGCTCCTCCGAAAACGATATTCACAGCTGCGTTACCCACAACTGCATATGGATTGGCCCTTCGCCTTGAATAGTTATTACTTGCCGCTGCTGCTGTTGTTGCAGCTGCTGTTGTTGTTTTTTGCTGTTGCTGTTGTTGCTGCTGTTGTTGTTGATGATCTTGTAGTTGTTTCGGTTGTTGTTGTTATTCGTATTTTTCCCAACCATCCTGTGGTGTTGGGTCCTCGTTTTGAAAAGACGGTCCCCGCGTTCCTCCTCCTTCTCCTCCTCCTCCTCCTCCTTCTCCTCGCCCTCCTCCCTCCTGCGTTCGCATGCCTCCCCACCACCCATTTCGGCATACCCCTCACACGTTTCGTGGCCCCATAGGCAGCTCCACCGAAGGCCCCAGTGGCTGCGTTCGCATGCCTCCCCACCACCCATGTCGGCACACCCCTCACACTCTTCGTGGCCCCATAGGGAGCTCCACCGAAGGCCCCAGTGGCTGCGTTCGCATGCCTCCCCACAACCCACTTCGGCACACCTCTCACACGTTTCGTGGCCCCATAGGGAGCTCCACCGAAGGCCCCAGTGGCTGCGTTCGCATGCCTCCCCACAACCCATTTCGGCACACTCCTCACACGTTTCGTGGCCCCATAGGGAGCTCCACCGAAGGCCCCAGTGGCTGCGTTCGCATGCCTCCCCACCACCCATTTCGGCACACCCCTCACACGTTTCGTGGCCCCATAGGGAGCTCCACCGAAGGCCCCAGTGGCTGCGTTCGCATGCCTCCCCACCACCCATTTCGGCACACCCCTCACACGTTTCGTGGCCCCATAGGGAGCTCCACCGAAGGCCCCAGTGGCTGCGTTCGCATGCCTCCCCACCACCCATTTCGGCACACCCCTCACACGTTTCGTGGCCCCATAGGGAGCTCCACCGAAGGCCCCAGTGGCACACCCCTCACACGTTTCGTGGCCCCATCTCCACCGAAGGCCCCAGTGCCTCGCCCACCACCCATTTCGGCACACCCCTCACACGTTTCGTGGCCCCATAGGGAGCTCCACCGAAGGCCCCAGTGGCTGCGTTCGCATGCCTCCCCACCACCCATTTCGGCACACCCCTCACACGTTTCGTGGCCCCATAGGGAGCTCCACCGAAGGCCCCAGTGGCTGCGTTCGCATGCCTCCCCACCACCCATTTCGGCACACCCCTCACACGTTTCGTGGCCCCATAGGGAGCTCCACCGAAGGCCCCAGTGGCTGCGTTCGCATGCCTCCCCACCACCCATTTCGGCACACCCCTCACACGTTTCGTGGCCCCATAGGGAGCTCCACCGAAGGCCCCAGTGGCTGCGTTCGCATGCCTCCCCACCACCCATTTCGGCACACCCCTCACACGTTTCGTGGCCCCATAGGGAGCTCCACCGAAGGCCCCAGTGGCTCCCCACCACCCATTTCGGCACACCCCTCACACGTTTCGTGGCCCCATAGGGAGCTCCACCGAAGGCCCCAGTGGCTGCGTTCGCATGCCTCCCCACCACCGATTTCGGCACACCCCTCACACGCTTCGTGGCCCCATAGGGAGCTCCACCGAAGGCCCCAGTGGCTGCGTTCGCATGCCTCCCCACCACCCATGTCGGCACACCCTTCACACGTTTCGTGGCCCCATAGGGAGCTCCACCGAAGGCCCCAGTGGCGCGGTGCCTATGAGAAGATGGGCCTAGTTTGCGTGCCCCCTCCTTCGTCTCATATCCGTGTGGTACTCGCAGCTGCATATGGTTGGGTCCTTCGCCAGGCTAATTTTTTATTGTTGTTGTTGTTGACCTCTCATGCTTGCAAAATAATTATTGCTGATCCCCCCGCCAGGTGCGCATTGTGTTTTTCGATTGACGTGCTCCCTCCGGGGCTCGCACCCTGTTTTTATCAAAATAAAGATTGGAAATCGCATTCTGTCGTTGGCACCGGGTTTACAACAACAGCGGCTCCCGCCTGACAGTTCCTCACAATTTATTGAGGAATCGCGCTCTCGCTTGGGAATTCCTCGCAATTTACCACCGAAATGCGGCTCCCGCCTGATACTTCCTGACAATTTATTGTAAACTCGCGTTTTCGCTTGGGACTTCCTCGCAACTTACCACCGAGTCGCTTCGCTTGATATTTCCCAACAATTCATTCAGATGCCGGTCGTCGATAATCAAGAATCGCGTTCCTGCTACATATTGCCTGTCGGTTCAAGCAAGACTCACGCTTCAACGACTCGCCCGCTCGACCCGCCCGTCGGGGCCTACCCGCCCGACCAGCCTGTTAATGACTGCAGTCGCCGCTCGCTGGCCTTCGCCCGCCTTCGATGCCCCGTTGCTGCCCTCAGTGGCCCCGTCGCTGCTCTTTGTGGCCCCGCGTTATATGCCCTTCGCGGCCCCCGCTCGCACACGCCCGCCGTGGCCCCATACGCATGCCCTTCGTAGCCCCGCTGTCGCCCTTCGTGACCCCCTCGCTGCCCTTCGTGGCCCCTTTGCTGCCCTCAGTGGCCCCGCTGTCGCCCTTTGTGGCCCCGTATACGACTGCCCTTCGTGGCCCCCGCTCGTTCGCGCCCGTCGTGGCCCCATATGCATGCCCTTCGTGGCCCCGCTGTTGCCCTTTGTGGCCCCCTCGTTGCCCTTCGTGGCCCCGGTGCTGCCCTCAACGGCCCCGTCGCTGCCCTGTGTCCTCGGATTTTATGCCCTCCGTGGCCCACGCTGGCTTTTCCCATGATTTACTTGGGAATCGCGCTGGCGCTCGAGACTTCCTCGCGGTTCATGCAAGACCCATGCTTCAGCAACCCGCCTGCTCGACCTCGTGACCTGGGCCCGCCTTTCCGACCTGCCCGCTATGGGTCTGCCCACCCGATCTGCCCGTCTGGTACTACCACTTGTTTTCTGCTCCTTGCACCCCTCCTGCTAATTTCTCTCGTGCTCCATTCTTCTCCCTCCCCTTTCCACCCGTCTTCTCTTCCCTTGTTTTAGGGGCTGCACTAAAAACGAGTGGCAGATAAGA